TGGCTCCGCCACTGGCTTTACGAGAAGTCCAACCTCTCCGCCGTCGTCACCAGCACATATCTAGTCAGCTGACAGGTGGACCCGCATATACGTATACACAGAACATAGTGGGCTGCAAGTTAATGTCACACCGTTCGACTTAACAGCAAATGTATCAAAATGTACCCGAAATTATAGTTTAGTGGCCCATTTGTATCATTTTTCAAGTTTATGTATGAATCTGTACCCATCGCGCAAGTTCATGTACTATAAGTGTAATTAACTCGTTTTAAAATATAAGACGTCTTTTGATACAATGATAGTGTTAAAAAAGTCTTACATTTTGAGACAGAGGGAGTACTTAAGTCTTACATTTTGTTAAGCTATTGGTCACGACTTTCCTTGAACGGTCTTTATCACCCCTGAGAGAAAATGGTACACACGTTGAATGAGAGGATAAAAGGAAAGAGAGGGAATATGATCTACATCCATAAGCTATTTCAGTTTTTATGTGTATGAAAAAGCTCCCGCCGTCCATTATTAAGAGATGCAAGACGAGCCTGCATACAAGTGTACTAAAAGTCAACCTAGTGCAGTTTTGTGTTTGAGATCATACATAAAATATACTCCCTCTGTTCTAAGTTTGTAGTAAATCAATGACACTTATTTTTGGGACGGAATAGTACTTGAACGGTCTTTGTCACCCCTGAGAGAAAATGGTACACACGTTGAATGAAAGGATAAACCTAGATATGGAGCAGTATAATAAGAGTTCCTACATGGCTGCCTTGATGCAGGAATGGCGCCGCAACCGTTGATCATTTCCACTCCCGGCTCCCTTGCCTTGACTCCCTGTACACCAACCAAACACCATTTCTCACAAGCTCAACTGCCCAAGTAGTACTAGCGCCACAGCAGTAGCAACCTGAGCAAGCAGAAGCGGTCGACATGGCCGCGTCGTCGCGCTCCGTCGCTGTGCCGGTCACCGACCCTGGCGCCGGCGACGACGCGGACCGAGCCCGGCTGCACCAGATGGGGTACAAGCAGGAGCTCAAGCGCGGGCTCAGCGTGGTGTCCAACTTCGCCTTCTCCTTCTCCATCATCTCCGTGCTCACCGGCGTGACCTCCACCTACAACACGGGGCTCCGGTACGGTGGGCCGGCGTCCATGACGCTGGGGTGGCTGGTGGTGGCGGCCTTCAACGGCTGCGTCGCCCTGTCCATGGCCGAGATCTGCTCGGCCTACCCGACCTCCGGCGGGCTCTACTACTGGAGCGCCAAGCTCGCCGGCAAGAAATGGGCGTCCCTCGCCTCCTGGGTCACCGGCTGGTACTACTTAATTACTCAATTTCTTGCACTCTAGTTGGCATAGCATGCTTGTCTGTTCATGAATGAGCTTCATGACAAGAAATGGATGAATTTGATGTGCTGTTGCCAATGGAATTTTCTCTTCATTGCGTTGGATAGACTGTAGGTTTATATGACCTGTCATTGAATGAGTAGTTTGCTCAAAATTTGGATATCCACAAACTCAGCCGTATATCCATTTCACAACGAAAATTAGAAGAACTAGTTCTCTTCCCAAGTTTGACATGTTCTGTTTTTACAGGTTCAACATTGTGGGACAGGTACTTCGACTCCTATGCTCCTTTACAATTTGAACATGATTTTTGAATTTTGTGGAGGAGGGTGGGTTCCCGTTTGTACAAGCAAATATAATAGTAGTAGTAGTTCAGTGCTCTACATCGCTACAACTTGAAGCCGGCAATCGATCAATAAGAAATACTCCATAATTCATGTGGCCGTCCGGCATGACCGTTGGATTCGTGGATAAAATAACAGCAGCGTGCTCAGAACGGCGGATCTTCCACGTCCCTGTCGATCTTCAACGCAGTGGACTCATACTTCAAAGTATAGATAGATAAAACTAAATTATTGGCACGTTGCTGCCGCGGTCCAGCCTCTTTTTTTGACCGTCCTGCCTACCTCTGCCTAGTGGGCGACGGCCACCAGCGTGGACTTCTCGCTGGCCCAGCTCATCCAGGTGATCATCTTGCTGGCCACCGGCGGCACCAACAGCGGCGGCTACCTCGCGTCCAAGTACGTCGTGCTGGCGATCTACGGCTTCATCCTCATCCTCCATGGCCTCATCAACAGCCTCCCCATCCACTGGCTCTCATGGTTTGGGCAGCTCGGCGCTTTCTGGAACGCTGCAGGTATACTCATATTCTTTGATCATTGCTATGCTGAACATACATTTTATTTTGATATTTGCATGCATATTTCATACGACCAATCTTAGGTGTAGTTGTGTACACATCAACTTTTTGCTGGTCCTTGATTGTTGGTGTTCCTGTACTCTCTGAACAATGGTAGGTGTGTTTGTGCTGGTGATCTTGATTCCGTCTGTTGCCAAGGAGCGATCGAGTGCCGAGTTCATCTTCACGCACCTCAACACGGACAATGGCATGGGCATTCATAACAAGGCTTACATTCTAGGCGTGGGGCTGTTGATGAGCAACTACTGCATGATCGGCTACGATACATCTGCTCATATGGTACATCAAGACGTTAATTCATTCCCACATAAACTTTTGTTGATTACTTGGTCCATGTACTCACATATGGAGTTCAATTAGAGCATGCCCTGATTTCTAGACATCGATTGCACTACCCCATCCCCGATGTCGATATAACTAAAGATCTAATGATCGGGATGTTATTGCTTAATTATGTATATTGATATATATGCAGACAGAAGAAACGAAGAACGCTGATAGGAGCGGTCCGATTGGGATTGTCACTTCGGTCGTTCTCTCAAACATCTTTGGGTGGATTTACCTAGTGACCCTGACTTCAGTTGTGACAGACATCCCGTACCTGCTAAGTGCCGATAATGACGCAGGCGGCTATGCCATCGCTCAGGCTCTCTACACCATATTCAACCAGAGGTATGGCAGTGGTGTTGGTGGGCTCGTGTGCCTCGGCGTCATTGCTGTCGCCATGTTCCTCTGCGGTGTTGCGTGCATAACGAGCAACTCAAGGTTCGTCACTAGATTATCATCACCTTGGATATATCGTTT